ACAGCATGTCATGAAGACCTATTAAAGGATGTCATGAATAACTAGCTGAAACATAAAAGTATTGGATCCATTACAGTGTGTTTCTTCTCCTTTTGAATGCCACAACCAGCTTCTTCATCTTCTCTACATCGCTACAGAGGTCGCTCTTCACATACCACCAGATTGTCCACCTCCTACTGTATTGGCACAAAGGCACATCAGTGCATTACAGCTCTCATACAAAAAAAAAATCACAATAGTGGTCAGGAGTTTGGCTGAGCAGTTGTAGAAGTAGTCTCAAAACAACACAACCCTGAGGGCAGCCTGTGATTTGTGTAAGCATTTTTCGACCTTGGTTCTAAGCTTTGTTTCTTTATTTTGTGTTTTCTGAATAAACTATTTCTATATTGTGATGGGGCTGGAGGGAGAAAAGAGTAAAGACCTTGTATCAAAATCATTTGTAAAGAGGCAAAATGGGATCAATTAAAAGACAGCAGCATGTATTGTAACATAATTTGTAGACAGGTAGCCTCCGTCATTGATCCAAGTTATTTGATTCTGTTGATCACAAACTGCAGATAAACCCACTCTGTGATACTGGTCAAGTGATGTAGGAGCTACTTTTCAGGTAGAACATCTTATGCCATATGAGTGCAGTTTTTTAAGGTTTTAAAGGGCCCTGTTTTATTCTTCATTTTTTTATTGACATTAGGATAAATATTTCTACAGCTAGTAAGTGCTTTATTATGAMGCTGACACCATACTTTACTCAGTCTGCTTTAATTAAAGTCAGGCTGTTGAGGAACTTCAAAAACTTATTTTACTCATTATGCATCATTAAATAATCATGATTGTTTTTTGTTTTGTTTTTTTTTTTTTTTTTGTTTTTTTGTGGGGGGGGGGGGGGTTGGAGGTATGGTTAGGCTTATGCTTTTCTTAAGCCTAGATTTGTTTTATTTTGTTTATGTTTTTGATAGAGATTTGCTTTGATATTAAGCTGAATTTTAAAATCTTGTTAACGCTTTTTATTGTTTATTTATGTGTATATTTTTATCAATATCAAACGCAGTAATCTCTTAGTCGAAAAGCACGAGGGTTGCATAACAAAACGTTACAAAAAAAAGAAAAAATATCTGTCCTTGGTCACATGTGCAGCGATCACCTTTGACTTCACCTCAACCAAACTTAACATGAACGTCAGACGCTTTGGTAAATCTGATTGGTCAGTTTAGACTGCGTACCTTCGTACTCAGATCTGATTGGCTCAGAGGACGCGTTTCCTCTCATCAGGCTCGTGCGGCCCGTCAGCGTGTGTCACCGCAGAGTTTTACACTTAACACTTGGAAAATGGCGAGCTGGTGTATACGAGCGGTGAGACAGAGCTACTCGCTTGTAGCTTCACCTGCACTGATGAGGTGAGCGGAGTCTGCTAAACTGATTTAAACGGATTTGATGGTTTTTAAAGGAAGAACGTGCTCTCTGTTTGAGCGGGAGTTCTGTTTTATGACGGCTAATCATGTGGTTAGCCGGTTAGCATTGTTAGCTTCTTTGCCTGCTGGTTGACCTTTACGTTAGGAATAAACCATCAAGTCTAGTCTTTTGGCGGTGAGCTAAAACACTTTAGCCCGCTCACAGTACAGTCTGTGACATTTGGCATGTCATTAGGAATAAACRAATGACATAATGTGGAAGTAAGGGAGCTGGACGCAGAAGATGCTAATCTACGTTCAGAGTTACACCATGTGACTAATCTTGTGTGTAACTTAACGCTGTCTAGTTTAAGTGTAGCTTTATGTTGAGGCAGGGAGGACTTTATGAATGAGTTGGGTGTCATATCTTCACGCAACCCTATTGGCCGGAGGGAGATGATGACACAAGTCGTCATACAGTGAAACAAGCTTCAACACAAGTTGGATTATGTTGACACCAAATCTACTCATTTAGATCCTGAGAGCAGCTTTTACAGTCCTTATATAATATCCTTAGTGTTTGTGGACGTAAAGTAAAGCTGTTCTGATGGAATCTAAAGATAAGAGTTGTTGTTTTGTGTGTCTTCACCATCCAGGACATCTCCACGGCTGCTGTGCACAGCCACCCAGCAGAAGAATGGCCCCGGGCCSGAGGAGGAGGCTGAGAAGACGGAGCAGGGAGCAGCCGAGAAAGCCCTGTTGGAGGAGAAGAGCCAGCTGGAGGAGCAGCTAAAGGAGATGACAGTAAGTCAGCATGATCTTCTTCTTCTGCTACACTTTACTGTTGAYAGACTGATGGACTGGCAGCATGGTCAGGGTGGACCCTACCTCTGATTCAGTGAACACCAGCTGAATAAATCCATTTAAGTAGAGAAACACTGGTGGAGCTAAGTTAGTTTTTTGACTGCAGTTTTGTGGGGTGCTGCATGTATCACTCTGTACTGATTACACATGGAAGTCACATACACTGCTCAAAAAAATAAAGGGAACACTTAAACAACGCACGCTAACTCCCGATCTTAATCAATGAAATATTCTCACTGAGTACTTTGTTCTGTACAGAGTTGAATGTGCTTCACAAAAGTTTGATTTACTTGGACTTAGCGTGCGYTGTTTAAGTGTTCCCTTTATTTTTTGAGCAGTGTATTATTAACCCCTTCAAGAAACAGTCTTATTGTACTTGAACAAACATTCAGTATATCATACATACTGTGAAAATGGAAGACAAGGATTCTGTAACGAGCCTCCTACTTAACCCAGTCGGTTAGTGGCGACAAAATGCAGACACAACACACTACGAATTGCATCATAATTTTAGTCCGACACACACAACTGTAATAATAATAATAATAATAATAATAATAATAAACCATTTTGTAGTTAGTGTCACAAACTGTAGCACCCACCAAGATGGCAGTTCAAATTGTTAGCCTAGACTGCACTGTGTTTGGTTATTTTAGTGTCTAATTCAGTRAATTAATTATTCTTCTTAAAATGTGCACAGTACTAGTAATTGKAGATTAAATGTAAGGTTTACCTCTGGTTTTATTCAAGTTATCTGCGTACAGCTGAGGAGAAACAGTTTATGCTTAAGGCCCACACTATAACGTTTTAAGGGCTCGACACACGGGCAGCGACAAACTACAGCGATTAACGGCTGTTATCGCAGCCAGGGTGAAAATCCGACACATGGGACGCGATAGCGATCGCAGCGTTGCGAATCGCGCTCTCAGGTCGCTTGTCTTCACAATATTTGATTGGTTCTTGACTCTGAAGGCGCGTGTGCATCACGGACGTGTAAACTAAACAAATCTTGCGATGCTAATGATAATGAAAAACAAACACACATCAAGATACAGTTTTATGAGGAAAAACTTACCATAAACTTCACCCTGGTGCCAATAAATTCCCACAAAGCTTTTTAGTAATCACTTAGTGAAAGTGTTAGCTAACTGTAGTGTGTAGCATACTCTCCTCTCATTGGTCAGTCAATGAAACCCTCACTGATTGGTTGTACGCTAAGCGACAGCGACAAAAGTTGAACATTTTTCAACTTTCATATGTCGCGTCGCAAGCTCGCGTGTGCACGTCTACGTGTACGAGCGCGAAATTTCACGTGCACTATTTTCGCCGGTTGCTTAGCTGGAGGAGGGTGAGCGATTGTCGCCTCACCGCACAGGCTCCATAGGAAATGAATGGAGAGCGAGCGACGTCGCCTCCCGTGTGTCGAGCCCTTTAGACAACTTATGCCAACTTATGACTATTTTAAGGACATCTACGTTAAAGATGAAATAAAAAGAATCAACTGGACGCCTCTTTTTGATGAGTAMATGTAATGATAACAAACTGATCAAATATCTAACTTCTATTAGTAATTTAGACATAAAAGCCTTTTCATAAGCTGGMCTAAGTTGTCTAAAACAGCGTGACAGGGGCTTTAATGAGAAAAATAAAATTCTGCCACAGAGCTCAGTCAWGGAAGAAATGACCCTGCAGTTTATTTTAGCATCATCTTCACCGGAGYCAGGATTTTCTCACACAAACTGYAAGAACTGTTAACATTYAGAAGATTTTGCTGTGAAGAAAACATGCGGTCAAAGGAGCTCTTCATGCAGGTGAAACAAACCTTAAACTGCAAGAAACCACATCATGTCAGTTTAACCAGTTTATATAATGACAGACATATTAGGGATTTTTGCTGTCATTAATGACCTTAGCTTAAATGTAACATTTAAAAAAACTGACAACCTTGACTGATATAATAAACTTGAGCTATATAAAAAATTTGCACAGAATATAGAGTTTCTTTAATTTGTTGTCTTTATTTTTCAGGATAAATACAAGAGGGCTTTAGCAGACACAGAAAACCTGAGGACAAGGAGTCAAAGGATGGTGGAGGATGCTAAATTATACGGTAAAAGTCTCTATTTTCTTTTTACGACTGAGTATTAGGGCCACACAACAAGATTATTTTTATTACAAGATTAAAGTTGTAATATTACGAGAAAAAAGTCATAATCTTACATGACGTGTCCATTTTCCGTTCCTCATTTCCTCCTTATTTTTCCCCACACCTGCTGTGTACAGCCATGTGTGTGTGTTTATACAGTACTCCATGATGACCTGGGTCACTGTTGGATTAATATGATTTCATCCAAATTAGCTACATTATGACTAAATTTGTCATTGCATCTAAACGCATCTGCGTTTATCATATAGTCATTTTCACAATTTCCAAGTCCTGCTACTGATAATTTGATGCTGATGTGCTAAAAGATTAACTATTTATTTTAAGCAATACTAAAAAAAAGGCAACTTCACAGGTTGCTCAACATTCCTCATTTTAATGCAGTGATAACTGAGTGCTTTTTCCATGTAAAGGCTACAATATGACTTTTTACTTGTACTATGACTAGGGGTGTCCCGATACCGATACTGGTATCGGTATCGGGACACCCCTAACTATGACTTTAATCTCATAAAACATTTTCTGATAGAATGGTGTCTGTAGGTTTGCAGTTGCATATTTCCACCACTAGATGTCATGAAGGAGCAACTTTTTCTAAAATTTATACTTTAATTATTTAAGCTGTTGGATTAGTGTACTTCTAATTAATTTGCAAGGATCAGATTTTAAAATGTATTTGATTTTTTTTTGACAAACAAATATCAGTGTATGTTTTATTTTGATTAGACAGAGCTTTAAACGGGCGTATTTAGAAACCGTAGAGGTGCTTCGCTGATTGCATTTTTCTGCCGTTCTTTTTATTGCACTTGTGTAAAATGAGCACGCCCACCAACCACCAGCCTGAGGGAGTTAGATTTTAAAAGAAAAAAACTTCTTATCTTGAAGTCGTGGTGCTTTGAGGCTCAGTTCAGTTTATCAGCTGATGGTAAGGTTACATTGACACAAAATGCCAGTTTCTGTCATTCAAGTCAACTAATAATATTTGTGGAATACGTTAATCTCACACAGAAAAGCAAAGTTTGAGTTTAATCTAATTTAAAAGTCTGAGATGAAGATTTGTTGAATATTAATCCAACATTTGGAATTTTTCAGGAATCCAGAGCTTCTGTAAAGATCTACTGGAGGTGGCCGACATCCTGGAGAAGGCCACAGAGAGCGTACCCAAAGAGGAGGTGTCRAGCCAGAACCCTCACCTGAAGAACCTGTACGACGGCCTGATGATGACCGGGGTCCAGATCCAGAAGTTGTTCACCAAGCACGGCCTGGTCAGGCTCAACCCCGTAGGCCAGAAGTTCGATCCGTACGAGCACGAAGCTCTCTTCCAGGTCCCAGTGGAAGGTAAAGAGCCTGGCACCGTCGCCGTCGTAACAAAAGTGGGCTACAAGCTTCACGGCCGCACCCTCAGGCCGGCGTTGGTGGGCGTGGCCAAAGCCCCCTAGAACTGATGAGRCCTTTGAGTCGCAAAGTGGGATTGGATGTGACGTTTCCTTGGGCGATGGAGAACTCGGGCTCGAGACTCCGTCGTCATTTTCCCACAGTCCTGTTCTCACACCTCCACCTCCAGATGCTTCGAGGACATGAAGTCATCAGAACTTTCTATGTGGACAATATCCAACAGTTTTAAAGTTATACTCTGTCACTGAACTGTAAAACCTCAGTTGATCATCAGCTGTGCAACTTCATCTTTCTCTCAGATATGATTAGATTATTAACGAAGTAAAAGAACACAGTTTTCTGTGCCCGCGTTAAAACTAGATCAAGATGGAAAGAGATCAGGTTAAGTATGATTTAAATGTCTGACGGTGTACGATGTGAAGTTAATTCACTAAGCTGCTAGTGGCATTCCAAATGTTTGATTATTGATGGTTGTTTTGTTTTCTTTGACTATCATCCTACAGGGAGTCAAAAGTCTCAAGACACCCTTTGATTTCAGAAAGGCAAGCAAAAAGGACATTTCTGAATATCCCAGCATGTACTGAGTGACGGGGGCTGTTTTTTATGCTATGTCCAGAACATGGCCACCATCTTGAAAGCCGCCATATTTTATCAAGGGCTAATTTTTCCAAAAATAGCCCCCTTCAACCATTACTTGTTGTGGTATTCTGATATGTCATTTTGCTTGTCTTTCTGAAATAAAAGGGTGTCCTGAAACTTTTGACTCACTCTGTGTAATTAACAAAAACATTGTTAGCTTGAATGTTGTCACGACTGATAAAGTTCATCCAAACTCTTGACACATTTTGACTTTGGAATAAAACAAAAGTACCAGGTGGATCTGTAAACCAGTGGCATCAGAATAAACTGATTTATGTTGGGAATACAAGCAAGATTATGGTTTGACATTTTGACACAACATCCTCATACTCACAGGTGAGAAGCTGATTATAGCTCCAGGTGTGCTGCAACAYGCCTAGCCCTGTCACGATAACTCATTTTGCTGGACGATAAATTGTTTCAAAAGTTATTACCAGAAACGTTATCATTTGGAGACCATTTTGATGCTCACAAAAATTTACAAAATTTACGTACGCAAAAAAACGTAGGAACTGACCTGGACCTAAGACTGGGAAGATGCACAGAAAACTGCTGAAGCTGTCCAATCGTTTTCCACCTTCTCTATCCAAGTCGACGCAATTTAGTCCGTACGTGTTTTGCTCTGGCTTTATAAAATAACTGCGGTCTTCCTCACTTCACTTTACAAAGTTTAAGTTTGTTGACAAAATGTACGTAGTGTTAAAAACAAAAGACTTCTGTGAACCCATGGTTTGGCATCCCAGTAAAGACAGCCTCCACGGTGTCCTGAGGCCAACTGAAAGAAGGCGTTGCATGCTAAATGTTCATGGGGCTCATGTAGGGGTRTAACAATACATCGATCTATATTTATATATCGATTTSAATGGTTCATGATTCAGTTATATCGAGGCRAAATTAAAATAGATCTGTATCATCATATGCTTGATGGGAATCGATATCATATACACATCTAACAGTCATTGTGTTAGATGGTTATATGTTATGGCATATCAATGGCAGACATGAATTGAATAGAAAACATCGTGACAGAATGTGATGTCAAGGAATATCGAATCGTCATCCAAACATATGGATGTAATAATGTGTCTTGATAAAGCTGGTGATTTACAGCCCTGCTCTCGTGCTACAGAGGTTAGAGATCATACATCTGGTACACCTGATGCTGGAGTTCACCCCTCCCAGTCCCTACACTAAGAAATAAAAAGGGGAAGACAGAGAGGGGGGAAAGGGGTTTTCTTTTAAAGTGATTAGCCRTTTGCTGAAGCTTTGGAGCATGTATTTTAAAAAAGCACTTTCAGAAGCTTGGAGCTTGATTAGTTTGGTAAATTTCACTTGATCAATGACGTTTGAAGCTTTGAAAGATCTGAAGTTACTCCACTGCTTTGGTACCTGATTCAAGGGTTCATGTGTAAGTAAATCGGCCACATTTYTGTGGTGTTTTGGTGGCAAATTTGCACAAACTACAACAAACCAGAGAGAAACACGGTGAGGCATGGAGACCGACAGCCTTGTTTTTAATTTAGCAGCTAAAAAGCAGTTTTACCCCACTATAATTACAAGCTAGGCTACAATACAATCTTATAGTAAACATAAGCTCTTTGAGTACATGAAGTCATGGAGGCAGAGAACTTGCAGTGTGTCATATCACTGCAAGTCCATCTCATTGCACTACAGAAAATTATGATGTAATCGGTTGTGTTTMCAAATGTTTAGGTCCCAAGGAAAGGGGCATTATGCCATGGCACATTTTTAAAGTTTATTCATCAAATAATTATAACTTTATTCTTTCACTCACAAAAATGCATTCTAAGCATCAAAATGAGTGATATCAGACATAAAGCTGCTATGATGAAGCAGTTCATTTCATGTAGTTTCAAGCTGCTCTTCTTAGTTTTGGCCATAGGAAGGTGCCAAAGAGAACTGTGTTAAAAAGCTTTGAGTAATGAGCCTTTTTCTTACACAAATCTCCAGAAAAGCTTTATCTGCCCTTCACTAGTTTTAGGGCATAAGACAAGATTGACACCCTTCTGTTAGTTTGAACGGACCGGCCACTGTRCTTCATTTGTACAGACGTGGTAGAGACCCACCACATGCACACSTTTTATTTTTTATATACAAAATGTAGACAAGACATCAAGTGGCATTTGCATTTCTCATAATGATGAATACATTTTGAAATAAATGACAACATTTATTAACGTGATAAGTCAGCACTGGTGGAAGGAGAAGCTGAAAGTATTAATCTACACGTTTCAGTTTGATTAAATGGTATATTTGGAAAGGTTAACAGGTTTTTGTGCAGCCATCAGCACTGGGTTGGAGCCGATGTCTGAGCTGATCCAACGTCTGATTCGTAGACCATGAGAGGATTTCATCGCAGTGCAGGTGTTTCCGACACCAGTGCAATGAGTGGATGAGCATTGTGTTGTTTGACTGTCCCCAGGGGGGGTGGGACTGGACGCAGGATGCTGCTGTGGCATCGGGTCTCTCCGATCACTTCCAGAGGTGACTTGAGGTCATACCCTGACTCTCCATACAAGGAGTGTCCAATCTTTGTCCTCAAGAGCCATTATCCTGTGTGTTGTACTTGTTCCCCTTTCCCCAGCACATCAGAGTTACTGATCCTTTGGGACCAGGTTTGGACACCCACACTCCACACAGTGATGCCTTGAATAACATCAGTATTTCTCTTGACTACTATGAGAGTATTGTAGCTCTGTCATCAGCACCACACACAGCTTGATCATTCTTGGCCAGGCAGAAACAAGATTGGTCATTGATACACCACCCCCCATCCATACCTCCCAGTTTCAGCAATCCTCCAGCTGTCTGCTCTGGTGTTGTCTGCAGCCTACTCATTGGATGGTGAACCTCTAGGCGGGCTGATGAAACATGGGAACATGRTACAGGACGACACAAGTTGTTGGGTATACCTGTGCCCAGATGCCAGTGTACGTATCATGGGGTTCTGTAAGGGTCAGTGTACAACACTACAATCCTCCCTCGGTGTGGTCTGTTATGGACAATCAAAGTTTATACAACAGATGTGAGTGCCCTCACACATCCATAGGGTCTCTGTGACGTGTACGTCCCAGCCTCAAATTCCATCATTAGTGCCCGTAGATGTGCCAACTCCTCACCATCACTGGTCTRCATGTGGATCAAATGAAGTCCAAATCAAGCAACTACTGGATAATTATTGTAGAAGCTATTTTTAACCTTTTTTACATTTAAAACTATCCTTTGTTTAGTTTATTTAAGATTGCCTTTTGTTACAATATTTAGCATAAATATTTTGTTAGTATTTTTGTTGTATTAGTTTAATTGTAAATATTGGGAAACCCGTAAGTATGTGCTCTAGTATTGGACCAGCATGCACTGGGGTGGGCATATGTTTATTTATTTATTTTTTACCAGAGCAGAGGAGGGTGTGGTGGAGCACAAACGTTTGCTTGTTGGTTTTTGGAAGTTCTTTTTTGGATTAAATCAATGGAAGWCATCTACATGGTTTTGGACAATGGACTTCTTTTGTCTGCGTTGAAAAATCTACCCCATTGTCATAGCGGCCATTTAAAACATCTGAACTTTAAAGAAAATGGCCACTACTACACTTATTGTTTTATAGTGTATTTTCACTTCTCCATATTTTGTTTTTGTATTCAATACAAAATCAGTAGCTGCTSTGTGTGAGGCGATGAGTGCCTTGATTTACTCAACTTACCTTATTTTTGCTGATTTTCATTAATTTTCTATATCTGCGTTTCAGTGCAGGGAAGTGTTGAGATTCATTTCAAATCAATATTTTTTTACATTCTCCATTTGTATTTGAAGTCTCTTGGAGAAAAATAAAGATATTGAAAAGAAACACTGTGATGTCTCACCTCATCGACATGCAGCTCGAGTAACCAGACTCACAAACGCTTTCTTTGTCACTGACAACAGGATTAATGTCTCTCCACTGAAAACCAGAACTACTTTGTGAAGAGGCAGTTTGAGCACTTATAAAGTAATTGCATTTTTTTTTATCTTTACAATTGCTTTATATGTAGCAAAATAAAAATAATAAAACTATTAAATGCAAGACAGTCATCAATATCTGAGACAACTAAACGGTGTGTTGGAACAAAAGACTGAAAAATTTTCCTTCTGTCATTTAAAAAAATCTATTTATTACAAAAATTTTAAAACTTTGACAAAATACTGTACAAGTCCCAAGATACACCCCTTTACCTGATTTACATTACAAAAAATTTACATTTGGTGACTAAAGTGAGTCACCTGTGAAAAAATATTTTCTTCTAATTTCTTTTACGTTTTAGAACAACCTTGGGAAAAGATGGTATTTTTGAATATTGACAAACAGGAGAGCCTGAGATTACTCTCTGCAATAACCCACGTTTAGTTTTTAATCACCTGCCACCTGTGCCTGTCTTGTCAAATCTCATGAAAGACGGGTGCGCCGATAAATCAGCACCAATATCCTTAATTTTGGAAGGTCAGCGATCTTCCCTATAGTTGCACTAGAAACCATTCTTATCCACTTCTGTAGAGGTCTGAACATCTGCTGCTGTCTCCCTTTGTTCTGTTGTCTAATTAAAACAAGTTTGTATTGTTGCAGTGTTTTTCTAATAAAATAAGATTGGAACACTGAAGGAGCATGGTGATCTTACAACACTGAACAGTGTCAGTTATAAATTCTGAATCGGCAGGTCAGGTTKTTTAGAGTTGRGTGATCGGCCAGARAGCTGAAATCAGTGCACCCCCATCATTAACCACTCAAAGCAGAGTGAGTGTAGATCTAGAACTGATTCAATAGCTGCCACAGCTAATTAACTTTAGCAAACACATTGTTATAATCAAAACATTTTAGCTACAACATGGTGCAGTTGTAGCTAATGGCGCAACACCTTCATTTAAACTTTGGCATGCGGGCGATATGCAGTCCTTCAAAGAGTGCTACTTTTTAAATTTCACCACTTTTCTACCAWGAGGAGCATAAAACAGTTAAAGCTGCGTTAACCTGCCCAACATCTTTGTGTATAATATGTTTTAGTATTTGTGTGGCCCTGTGGTAAACACTGGTCGCTGCAAACACAGATTCTGAGAAGTGTTCAATGTCCTGTCACACCATGACGTTTTAGACAACTTCTGGAAATTTTAAAGACATCTACGTTGAAGAGGGAATTTCAAAAAAAAAAATAAATCATCACAAAGTCTCTTTTAGGCATATACTGTAATGCTAACAAATCAATCAAATATATAATTTTTTAATTACAGTAATAATTTAGCCATAAAAAATGTCATAAGTTRTCTAAAGCGTTGTAGTGTGACAGGGTCTTTACCTACACATACATTAACAGTTTTAGGCACATTATAAATATTAAAACCCTTAACACAGCAATGCGGTTACGTTTTGAGGTACAAATCTGTCATTTGAAAAGTTTTAACCAAACTCTGGTCACTGTCGATCAGATCTGATCAAATTGTTCCTGCATGGAAATACTTGTTTTAAGGGTTAAATYTGATCATTTAACCAGGACGTCTACAAAAGGAGGACATTTAGTTTAAGGACAGGACAAACAATCTGACATTTTGTCCTGATGCATCTCAGTAATCCAGGTAAAAAATCAARAAGAAAAAAAATTGTATAAGTCGTCTGTGTTGGGACATTTCAAAAGAATGTCCCAACACAGACGAGCTACATCTAATGGCCAGAACTCTGCAGTTTTCACTCATTTACAGGCCAGCGGTCACTCTTTCAGAGATGAGGATGTTCTCATTCTTGATAGAGAGGAACGTTGGTTTGAGAGAGGAGTAAAAGAAGCCATTTTTGTGAAGAAAGACCGTCCATCATTAAACAGAGCTGGAGGACTCCATTTTCAGTTGTCCCCCTCCTACAGTGCTGCTATAGCCAGTATCACTCCACCCCCTGTTAACAATAAATGTTAATTAGGTGTCAACGATAGCCATGTGATGTGAGTATCAGTCACATGGAGGCAGTGCTTAAAAGCCTGAATTTTGCCTGAAACTCTCAGACTGAAGAAGTCTCTTGGAGGAGAGACGAAACGTTTCATTAGAGAAGAACCCGTCCAGAAGACCTACACAATTTTTTTTCTTTTTAATCTGACATTTTAATCACATTCTTTGGCCTTTTTTCTTTTATTTTTTGCAGACCAACACAACATTAACATAATAGTGATTTAACGCTGCTCTGATCAGTTTAGATTCATGTATCGAACTAATTAAACAATCACTTTGTCAGGAAACTGTTCTACCCCTGTAGGAAACAGCTGCTTAACACTTGTAAGAATTTGTTTTTTTCTTGTCCAGAATTATCGTGGGCAGAATGTAATCTTKAACCACTCGTGTTTTTTAAATGAAAAAATAAACGATTAGCTTTTTGTTTTATTTTTAATCTGTGCATGAAAATATACTTTTTTTAAATTTCCAGTAGGACATCTTCTTTATTAGTAATGTACATATTCACAAAGTCAACCCTGAATTGAAAAAGCGCTCTCTGTGACAGTCAGTTTGGTTCAGTCTCAGCAGCTACCAGTGATCCTCAGATTATTATTCCCTACGAGGCGTCTCTGGATATCCAGCCGCTCTCTGTGAGGAAAGTAAGAATGCGTTTTTTCAGGACTTTGTCCAGGTAGCTGGGCATTCGGCTCTTGGCCGGGATGCCCTGTCTTTTCTGCAGGTGGTCTTTGATGATGATGGTTTTGACAGTCAGGTAGCGCGTGGGGCTGAGGTTCAGAGAGTTACACAACACCTTCTCCCGATCGGACAGGAGCTCRAAGCCCGTCAGGTTCTCTATGGCAGCGAACTCACCATCTTTACCATCCTCTTTGAGCCCGCCTGCACCCCCCAGCCCCCCGGCTCCGCCTCCTCCAGCTCCACCGCCCGTCCCAGAGCCGAGCCCACCCCCGACGGAGCTGCCGCGTTTGGAGGCGACCAAGCTCTTGTTCTCCTTGCGTTTCTCCCGTTTGTGGCGCGCCGCCTCGTATTCCACGGACTCCTCCAGGCGCGTGATGCCGTTGCGGCGGTAGCGCTGCAGCTCACGCACCTTCACCCTGAGCAGTCGCTCTTTGTGCATGTTCTCGAAAAACTCCTCGAACTCCCGGTGGGCCATGAACTGGCAGAGCGCCCGCAGCCTCATCCGYTGCTCCTTCTCCTCCTTGGTGATTTTTCTTTTAGGTGTGCCCGGAACGGGGCCGGACCCGGATCCCGTCACGGACGCCGAGCTGACAGCTCCAGTTGCTCCTGCTCCTCCCGCTCCTACAGAAGCTCCCGTCACTCCCAGCCCTCCCGGTTTCTCCTTCTCCTTGTCTTTTTTGTCTCTGCCGAGGAACGCGGGAACCAGGTTGTAGTCCCGAGCAATGTTCTTACGCCTCTGGCGCTCCCTCAGCTTGCGCACGTACATGTCCACGTGGGCGCGTTTCAGCTCGATCTCCACGTCCTCGTCGTCGTAGTTGACCGACAGCCCGCTGATGAGCTTCTCCGCGTCCTGGTCGTACTCGATTTCGTAGTCGTCGCGCAGCGGCATGTAGCCGAGCTGCTGCTGCTCCGCCAGGCTGATGTCCAGCGGGGGAAGCGGGGTGGTGAGGCTGGGCGACAGTGGCCCCCCGCTCGGACAGGTGTGGTCCGTCACTCGGTTGGGAATGCTGTCGGGGATGCAGGCTTTGCCCAGGTTACCGTGAATGTACATGGTGACGTAGTGCTCCATGACTTCCTGCGGAGTTCGGGATGCTCCGACGTGAGCCGCCATGTCCTCCTGGGAGGAAACCAGATTTGAAAAAAAAAAGTCAGAACAAAGGGAACACAGAAAAAATCAGAAATAAAAATCAACACAGAACCCAAGAAAACACATTTACTGGATCAATTAAAGTCTGTGAAACAAATTCAGAGGCAAGCTGTGGATGTGTTTGAGGGGTTCTATAAAAAAAGAGCAAATTTACAACTCAAACAGTTTGTTTAAGCAACATGTTGTTTTGAGAAAGAGACCAACAAGCAGAGCTAAGAGTTCATCAAACAAAGTTGCTTTCAATGTCCAACCTGGACTACAAAGTTTTAAGAGATCCCTGATTAGTTGTAACATTAGACGTTATTTGATAAACATATTTTAACTGTAAATAAACAATACTTATTTTACCTGCTGTATATAAGCATCTTCAGGCGGGAAATCACATCTTTTAAAATTACAGGTCTAGATTTGCTGCTATACTTTCAATCAAGTCCATTTAGTATCCAAGAGCTATTTTTAGGTGAATACATTGGGGGTGTAAYGATACATCAATCTATATTGATACTGTATATCGATTTGAATGGTTCATGGTTCAGTTATATCGAGGCAAAATGAAAATATCCATCTATATCGTCATCATGTGCTTGATGTGAATCAATATCATCTCCCAGATTGTGGAATGCACTTCCACTAAATATTAGACAGCCTACCTCATTGTTTTCTTTTAAATCTTTACTTAAGACTTACTTTTTTAATAAGGCTTTTAATATTTGATAATGTTTTTTTGTTTGTTTTTGGTTTTATTGTAATTGATTTGGTATATTTTGTTTCATGTTGTCTTTGATGTTTAACTTATTTTTCAATGTAAAGCACTTTGTAACATTTGTTTAGAAAGGTGCTATACAAATAAAGTTATTATTATTATTATTATTATTATTATATGCCCATTTAACACATTCATTGTGTTAGATGGGCATATGATATCGCATTATATCGATCGCAGACATGTGAATTGAACTGAATCAAAATCATATCGTGACAGACTTTGTGATGGAGAAATATCGAATCGTCATCTAAACATATTGTATCAATTTAATATTGTATCGTGATAAAGCTGGTGATTTACTTAGCCACTTAGCCCTGTTTGGGAGTTATTAAAGGCTTACCTGAGAGGTCAAATAATTTCTTACTGTGCAAATAAAAAGAAAAAAAACATTGAACAGCTAAAATTGCTAACGGATCAGATTCTACAATTAGACAGGGAATGCTGCCATGCTTTTACACAAGACTCACTTAAGAAACGTACATGAACGAACTGTTCATCCATCACCATTCATCTCTCTCTTTGGGGTGGCTCCAGCAGAAGCTTCCCTCAGTGAACATCAGAGGACGGTGTTAGCTTTCTG